ATATTTTGTTTTCTTTAAATTGTATATTACGTAGAAGTGGTAGGTTCAAACGTCTTTTTGCGCCACAATACAAGCTTCGACACGACAAAAAAGCTTGCTATTTATTTATTTATTTGTTTATTTATTTATTTATTTATTTATTTATTTATTTATTTATTTATTTATTTACGTCAAAAACAGTTAAAAACTGAATGTCAATGCCTGAAATATTTTTTTTTCTCTTTTTACCCTTTTGCCTGAATTCCATACTAATACACTATTTTGTTATGGCTAATGGCGTCATACGGTGATGCTACTTCCTCAGGGTTAATCACGGACCTCGTGAAGGATTCCTTGACTGAGCCCTCACATGTGACTTCTGCATAGCTCCTCCAATGAAATAATTGGCCTCCGGATTCAGAAAATGAACCTGATGAAAGTATCAATTGGCACTGTCCGCCCAGGTGTAATGAATAAACTGTATTTTATGGAACGAATATTTTAGTTTCAAAAGGCCATTAGTAACGCATGGTATAGTCCGCATGGAACTATCGTATGGGACTCATCGTATGTAACTATCTAAAATACACGACACTATTGCACACAGAAGAAATGCAAAAATAATTCGAATTATGTTAATTTCCATAAATAAATATTCCGTGTTCAGTGTTCATTGTTACGCCGCTGCATACGTGGTCATAATTTATAACAATAAATCATTTTAAGAATATTTAATAAATTCAATGAATAAAACACAAAAAAACAATTGATACTACTAAAGTACTCTAGTATGCGGCAAGCGATGTTTTCCTTACTAAACAGTTTCAGTTCCTAAACAGAAGAAAGAGTTGAACTAAATTTTTCTGAGATTTTCCTGTTTTCGTGAATCCTATAACTGCCATTCTTCGAGAAATGGCATGAATGTTTTTTGTAACGGGAACTTTTGAATATTCTGAACATCTATACGTCAAGAACAATGGTCAATATTATGTAAAGTTACAAGGCCGAGATAGGTCTACGCGATGTTCGTGGCGCACAAAGTTGCTCTTACTGGTGCCTAAGTGCAGTGGTAAGTTTCGTGTAAGATCCTGGTTGATATTATAGGAGCTAATAGATGCAGCTGGGAAGAGGGTGGATCAAACCCAAAGTCAGACTCGAGTTATAAAAAAGTAACTAGTACGAGAAAGTCTGGGTCATTCCATAGCACCATTAGTTTTAAGCTACTGGTGCTACAACACTACATTCTAGCTATAAAAGCTAGTATATTCAGGCGTTGTTTATAACAGCTATGCAATCTTATAAGAATAGTTGGACCTGCAAACATTTCTAACCTGCAAAAATGTTTGCCCGGACTGGAATTCGAACATATGTTCCCCAAGCAACGAATTTATCGGCTAGACTGACGCGGAGCTGACGTTCGAAACATTTTCCCGACGCATCAAAGCGAAAGTTGAATATTTGCAATCATCCAAATTTCCGAGTTTTTTTATAGCAACCAGCAATTTCATAAACTAACATTTTAAAAATGTTTCAAAAATTAAGTTTGGACTCGTAATTGAAAAAATTGTTTTTTTGGTCACCATTTCACACAATACTTAAATAAAGTAATTGTAGGAGAGCACTGACATTATTTTGGACTATGGCAAGTTTTTAAATTGTAAGAATTTCCTAAAATCGGACCGTCTGCAATTCCATTAATAAAAGTTAGTTCCCTTCCGTATCCTGTAACATATGTTGCCATTTAAATTTCCGAGATTAAATCTTTCGCATAATTCTAGCATTCCTGCCCATTCATTATTGATGACCGAGTCTTTGCTTTTTCTGGAATTCGGCCTCTCGCTTCTGGCCGGTCGAAGTCCGAAAAAATTTCCTGCTCATGTGCATCGTCGAGCATTCATATCCCCTAACACTACGTAAATTAGTACTCGGTACCTAGCTTTAACGTATATCTAGAAAATCATTGATTTCGCCCGAAGGATCTGGAGTGTAATAGCGCGAACCCCTGTGTGACGGTATATAACACAATGGCAAATCTACATTATGCATTACTAGTTCTAATACAAACGAATTTGTCTGGAGTTAGTTTTAATTTCATTAATATAACCTGAATTAAGCTAGTCCGAAAAACGCACGCTACACCACCGGGTACGTGGACCTTTCTCCTCTCGTTTTTAATTTTGTGCATATGCTGTAACCCAGACACAGTTAACAGTTTACCTCCTTCCACTCAAGTTTCAACGAGACCAATTACATCAAACAGTGTTAATTAGCCATGAAGTCTTGATTACGAGCTTAGAGCCTAAGCCTTTGTGTTCCAACACCTATTTCTAAAACCTATTCTTGGCCTATTTGTGAAATGTTGGGCACGGACTCACCGCGAGCTTCCTGCTGCTGCATATTGGCTGCCATCGCCCTCGTGCGCGGGACCTCGCTCCGAGCCTTTCGGCCGCGCCCCCGCCGGCACTCGACGAGTGCCGTGAGCTCCGCCGGGATCGCGAGCGCGACCGCCGGCGCGAACGTGACGCGATTGCCTCCGTTCTCGATGCCGCGGGTTCAGAGGTCGTCCCGCGCCGCCCCCGAACGAGCGCAGCTGCAGGTGCGACCGGCGGTCCCCGCCACGGGCGTGCGCGGGGGCGGTCGTGAGCAGGCGCCCGATTGCTCGGAAGGGGTTTCCGCCTCCTGGGGTCTGCCCTTCACAGCGTTCACGGGGCACGCCGGCCCAGCCCCTCCAGCCCGCGGACGGGCCGCCAGCTCGCCCAGGACGAAGCTGCGTCCTGCACGAACAAGCTTGTCGAAACGAATGGACGCCTTCCTCGCTCGCTTTCGCCTCCTGCAAATGCGGATTAACGCCTTACGCGTTTGTCGCACTGCCCAGCTTCAAGTCTCTCGGACGCGCACCATGCTACTCTGGGAGAGATGCTCCCGGCTGCACGCAGCAGTCCTCCCGCTTCCTGAATGAGGCCAGCTTGGCCACAATCATGCGCGGCTGTCCCTCACGCCGCCGCCGGTCCGGTGCGCGCGCTCGATGTCGTGAGGCTCCAGCCTGACACCTAGCTGCTTCAGCTAACCAGAATGCATTTTTCCGAATCAGCCCATGACTCTTCCGCGCTCTGGGATGCCAGTAACAATGATATTGTTACGTCGCGACTGGTTTTCAAGGTAATCCACCTTGCGCCCAGCCGCTGCGTTGGCTGTCTGCAGCGACTGCACTGTCGCCTCTGCGCGTCACCCTAGCCTGTAATATATCGAGCCTGTCTATCATTCTCTTATGTTACGGTTTAAAATGTCGATGATCTCGGGTTAGTGGGGGGGCCGGATTCAGCTCCACCCCACGATCGCCAAAAAGCAGGCCATCACTGCCGCAGCAACGCTCGCAAGTAGCCCAGCCCCTGCGCGTGTCCCCCGGGCACCGCCACGCGCGGCAGGTAGCCCTCACGCGGCCCGATAGCCGCCCGCCACTTTCTGTCGAGACCATCCTGCGACCAGGTAGAAACACGTCCGCCTCGTCTCGACGTCTGGAGTGAGACTGAGCGGTAGAAAGTATTGTATTATGGAAGTTGTGATATAACGACTTAATTATGCATAGTAAGAATAATTGTCGCGAAGGCTAGGTAGCGACTAGCGTTACGGCAATAAGGTCTCTAAGAGGCGAGCGTGTTGATCATTTGGAAGCGCGGTTCGATGCTTGCCAGGGAGTCGGATAATTGCGTGGCGTGTTTAGGATCGCCTGCTGGAATCAAATTCGTTAGCGGACTAATGTGATCAGTGGTTTCTATGACTCCTGTGATTTCCTGATCGCTTGCAGGCGAATGGGGAGCAGTACCTTGAATATGGGAACACGACTGCACGCGTTCTTCCTACCGATTCTTAGGTGGATTCTCTAACTATAAATACTCTTTCCCTAAGGATCTACAAAACATTTCCGTGATGTGTCAGAAATATTCTAAGAGGGAAGTTGTAAGTGCTCTTGAGCCGAAAAGAACGAGAAAAAGTAGAGAGAGACAGTTAAACTAATGGATTAACTGTTCGAAAGAGTTAATTAATATTCCTCAGCAAGAGTTTA